TTCCAATTTCTTCCAAACTTCTCCTGGAGATTTCAGATTCATCTCGTGATACATAACCTCATCTGCTAGGCATAATCGTATCGTCGCTGCCGCTCGCTGTTGCAACTCTTCCCGATCTTCATCATCCATGGCATCTGGTTTTATTGCCCGCAGAGCTTTCAAGATTCCTTGTTGCGCCAACAGATCTTTCACCCTAGTTTGCCACAATCCGAAGTTACCAGTTCCATCGAAATTCACCACCTCGAATTTCGCACCAGAAAATGTCATCTGAAAATTATTCCTGCAACAAAAATTTTTGCAAAAATTTCCTCTGCAAAAAATCTTTAGAACCCCTTTTTTTTTTAAAAGAAAAAATTTTTCCTTAATTAAGGAATTTTACTTAATTAAGTTTTCCTTAATTAAATGTTTTTAATAAGCATAATTAAAAACATATATACATAAACTTTCCTTTCAAATCCACTGCAGCAGCCCTCCTTTCCAGCGTTTCTCAGCGGAGCAAAAAAGGGAAAGAATATTTTCTTTGATTCCTTTCCTGATTACAGCTTCCTTCAATCCGAGGGAGCAAATTTCCGCCTCCTTCCACCGATTTCGCCCGTCAGCAATAGAAGGAAATCGCCTCCTTTAGGAAAGCCTCCGTATTCCCTTCCGATTATGACCGAAAATTTCTCTGTTTTCCTTCTTTGCTCCGTCCGCCAATCCGCCGAACCGCTTCCCTGGCCTCGAACTCCTCTGCGAAGTAAGACAGAGCCCTCGCGATGCAGATCCGGACCCTCTCGCTGGTTGCGAATGTCGCGAATCCGAAGCCTCTGCAAGTCCTCGGACTTTCTGCACCGATTCCTCCGACGCGGGAACTGCTCCTTCAAATCTGCGTCGTGGGTCGAATACCTCGATTCTGAACCGAAGCCACGCAGATCCCTTCCAAAATCCCCAAATCGTTCTTCTTACTTCCTGCGCCGCCGCAGTTTTCTTCCCCGCGCACGAAATTTCTTCCTTGCCCTCGAACCGGGCTCTGATACTACTTGTTGAGAAAATTAGGGCGAAGAAAAACAGTAATCGACACAAATCCAGAAGAACACAGAGATTTAACGAGGTTCGGCAAAGATGCCTACGTCCTCGGGAGCAGAGCGGCGAGTTCCTTTCAATATTCAGAAAAGAGTTTACAGAAATCAGGGATATTACTAACATGTCTATTTATGCCTATTTATAACCCCAGGAGTAAACCTAGGCACAATATGTAATTACAACATTACCCCTGTACCATACCGCGGGGCTTTGCCCCCGCACCCCAACCCACGTAACTTCCCAATTTGGACAGATTCTTCCGCTCCGCTCCGCTCCGCTTCGATCCAGCGTCTGTCCCGATATGGTATATGAGTCATACCATAACAATTGGAAAACTTCGCCAAGGTTGGTCTACTAGTGGATGATTTCGCCTTCTTAAACCTAAAGTCTGAGCACCACGCCAACAGTCGTGAAGCTAGTGGGAGTAGCCTTCCCGAGTTGTCTTGATAGCTTTGGCTGCTTCAGTCGATTTTAGCTAAGCTTTAGGCTCAGCATTCGGTAATGATTGGCCTTGAGAGGCTTGAACTCGGCGGAGAGTTCAGACAAGCTCAAAGAAACTCATGCATACCGATCTCTCTTAGTCAGCTGAATTGCCCTGAATCTGGCCCATACAATTTATAGATATCGGCTAAAACCAGCCCTGTGCGGCATGTTGGAGTACAGTTTTGAGATCGACATTTCACATCAACAGATTTGCTTGAACAAAATGTAATTTTTGTCAAATCAGCAAGCTAATACTACTATAATGCAGACTCATTCTCTAAACTTGGCGCAAAACATTCATTTCTACACTCATCCCTAAGCACGGAAGCAACGTTACTGTAACAAAGTAAAAGAAGAAAACCATTAACTGAAAAAGAGAACGAAACTGCATACCGGTAAATTTGATATCACAAGAGAAACCCTGAAGTTCTTTTTCATCCACCCACGCTTTATCTGCCTTGAGCCTATTCACCCTCGTCTGAAGAATCTGGCAATTCTCTGCAGTGGACTCACCGCCTAATTGGGAAGCCATATTCCATCATTCCACATGAGCAAAAGCCCCACACGAAACCCTAGCCTACAACCAGAGCACTCGAGGAACAGAAAAACATGAAGAAAACCTTTGGAATATGGAATGACGTGATCATATTCGAAGCAGAGACAGCCCTGGCAGTTATAAAAGCGCTTGCAGACGACGTTTCCGGCCGAGTCACGCCGCCACCGTTCGGGATGGCGACCGGCGACAACGTCGGCGAATTGCCAGCAACGGGCTTTGGCTTTGGCGTCAAAGTGCCGCGGCCGACCCCTCTCTTCTTCTTCCCCTCCCCGCTGAGCTCGAAAGGGTGACGGTGGGTCCGAAATCTCTGAACCTACCATTTCAAATTCTGGAGCACTGGACCTTCAGGCTCCTTCGACGGGTGCTGGTGGTTTACAGCTCTCAGTCCTTCGCTAGAACTCTAGAACCTTGGATTTATCTAATTTATTTAATATTGTTGAATTATGTGGAATAATATAAATACACTTTAAATTATTTGAGATACATATTTCATGATTTATTTATCATCATATAAAAAATAGGTAATTAACATACAGGCCACATAATTTTATGCATTTACATATCTATCATCTAAATTTTAAAATTAGTTTCCTATCATTTAAATATGAGGAAATTTATATACACGCCACACAATTCTCATGCAGTTGTATATCTCACATCTTAAATTTCATATTATGTATATAACATTTTTGCGCTTTAAACATATGCATCAAAGGGTATGTTTCATTCTAAAATGTGATGATAGGATTATTTATGATGTGATGTTGTTTAATCTGAATCTGCTCGAGAGTCAAACTCAATGAATATAACTTAAAGTAGAAAAGAGATAAGAAGAGAATGAGAGAGTGCATGGTAATGAATAGTTGAAATGATTCTTGATTTGTCCTTACTGAATAAATGAATTCTCTGTTTATAAGAGAGGGGTACAATATGTATAATTACTTGCTTTACCTATGTTTTGGTGGGGGTGTCATAGGATATTTTGGGTGTCTACCTAAATGAGCTTATGACGGTGTTGCCCTACTGCTCAGCCGACTGAGATTGGTGGGTGTTGGGTTGGTAAAGCTCGTTCTGCCGACTATGCTGAATTAAGGATCGTCGATCAGTTCCTTTTGATTTTCAATCCTCTAGACTTGGCTAAATTGACTTGAGTTAACCGATCAGTTGTTTTGATTTGGTTGTCAATTATTAATCCATAGTGAATAGCTCATGTTGTTATGACAATAATAGGTTGTCAGACATATGGTGAATCACCGTAATTCGACAGGTAGTTCGTCCATTGACAAAAATATTCTTTTGGGGTGTTTGTGAAGAGTATCATGGTGAAACTTCGACCTCCGTATGAAGAGCCTTAGGGATTATGGTGAGATGGCTAACAATATTGAGGCAAGAATTCAGCTGAGACCTTCTCTCAACTTCATGAGTGTGGTCTTTAACTTAAACAACCTTCGTTCAGCTGGTTTCAGATCCTAGCCAAAGGATTTGTGCTTCATCAATAAAGTTTTCTTATGTTTCAGTGTTGAAACCCTTTGTTATTTCTTCCGCGAGTCATATATGGCCGTACTTTCCAATATCCTCACCTTGTTGGATTTTCTTGAGATTCGTGTTAAACCATTTATGATGTATAAAAATTAAAGATTTCAGTTTTATATTTGTAATATATGAAAGTTTGCTTTTGAAGCATGCAAATACATAACAATGTATGAGACAAGTAAATACATAAGAATTAAGTGCTATATACATAAATACCTCATAAATTTTTAAAAAATCAGTAACACTTTTAAAGCATAAATTTATCATATAATATATATACATAAATACATACATATATGTATGTATGTATGTATGTATCTTTTTGCTAAACCATTTTTTTAACCATAAATTTATGGTATAATATGCACAGACCGTGTGTATGTGCCGCTAATGTGATTTTTTGATTTACAGAATATAATAACCTCACAAATATATATATATATATATATATATATCACACTTTCATTCTTAAACAATATTTATCAATTGTGTAAATCGCTGATTAAAAAAGCCCAATAGCCTCGCGTTTGTTCGAATTGCAAAATCAGATTGTTTTGGGCATCCCACATCCAACCTCCGATAAATCGAGCTCTCCTCGAACAGAAAGAACTATACTGTTCCCTCCCATGGCGAGCAGTGCCCTTCTCCCTCATTACCACGGCCTATGCGCCATTACTCCCTTACTAACAATTTGCCGCCGAACCAATCTCCTTGCCCTAAACCCTTCCCGTGGCCTCTGCCGCCGTCCGACGCCGGCTCTTATCTCGACCTCCTCCTGCTTCCGCAGCGGCCTCCAATTCGAGGAACAGAACAAAATCGACAGCAAGGCGCAGCCTTTCGTGTTGACGACACCTTTATACTACGTTAACGCTCCTCCCCACATGGGCAGTGCCTATACAACCATCGCAGCCGATGCCATTGCTAGGTTTCAGGTTCGCCGTTGATTTTCCCGATCTTATGTCCTATAATTGGATTAATTAATAAGGTCTTCATGGGATAATGAGACAGATTATTGTTCATCTTTATCGACGAAAGAGATTTTTTTTTAATTTATAGTTTTCTTTGAAGAAAGGCAAGTCCTTTATCAATTCTCGGCTCGAGCATGCTAGGCTGACACTGATCTCTGAAACTAAAAGGGGAAGTTTAAAAAAAATGTTTAGATGTTCTCTGCTGGAATTATGTTGCCATCATCGTTCGAAATTTTCACTATCATAATTTTTGTTAATTTTGAATGCATTTTTTTTTTCTTTTTGAACTTTTTCCACTACGACCATGTATGGTATCCTTCAACCGGAAGGAATGTTAGTTCAAGTAATGGGTAAGGCTATATTGACAAGGTTTGTTCTTGTTTCTTGATAAATGTTTGAATTTGAATACATATAATGATGCAAGCTATTCGTTCATATGTCATATAGATTCACACATGAAAAAGTCTGAAGTATGTTCTTTCAGTATTCATTAATTGTTTCTTAATTAAAAGTGTCACAAAATTACCTAGAATTGATTTAATGGGTCTTCGAACTGATAGATCACTTTGAATTGGAAAGTGGAAGGTTTGTAGGAATTATACATGCTATGTGTGTCATCTGTTATTCTTAAATTCTCAAAAAATCACCCTTTGATGGGGATTTGTCAGATACCCTTTAGTTCCATTGGACCCAAGAACGAGACATTGGAAGAATCTTTTCATCTTTCTGAAAGACTTAAGTCAGAGAGTTGTTTCACGGAACTTTGAGGAAGTCATTCACCAAAAAAAAAAGAAAATTTGTATTATGCTTAAATTTTATTAGGGTTCATGGTGGCGGAGAAAGCAAACTGGAACAAATGACCATTGCAACGGGAATGATGGAATGCCCACACTACTTAATTTTAATCAGTTACAAATTAAGGGATTTGTAGGTTCAATAATTAGGGTCTGACATGATAAATCATCAAAATATGATATATTGCTGCATGCCAGTATCTAGTTTTATCTGCTGCATCTAGTGAAAATGACTATTGATTTTGCAATTCATTTAACACCCTGATAACATAAATGTTGAGCTTTTTGGCTGGTAAGTCATAATATTTATTTTCATGTTACTTCATAGTAATATAACTTGCCATTTTTTATTAAATTTGGTAGCATCAAAGAAGCATTTTCTCCTATTCTCTTGGACCAGAGGTTACTTGGAAAGAAAGTAATATTCATCACTGGAACAGACGAGCATGGAGAGAAAATTGCTACTGCTGCGGAGACCAACGGCAGAAGCCCAAGAGAACACTGTGATATGGTTTCAGATGCCTATATAATGCTTTGGAAAGATGTAAGTTCCATTTTACCCTCAGGTAACCTTTTTCATATTGTGAGTTTAATCAATCTTACTATAACTTTCTTAAATATTTCAATTTATAAAATACACGTGAAAGAATTATATTATTTTCTTAATTAACCACAGCTAGACATAGCTTATGACAAATTTATCCGCACTACCGATCCAAGACATGAAGGGATTGTGGAGGAATTCTACTCAAGAGTGTTTAACAATGGTGACATATATCGTGCTGACTACGAGGGGCTCTATTGTATCAATTGTGAGGAGTACAAGGTAAAGCTCCATCTTTTTGTTTTATCAAGTTAGGTTTTATTTGGTTTTACTTAATTTCACAATATTTTCAATCTTTTATGCTGTAGTCAAATAGTATTTAGGCAAACTATAATGACAGTTTCATATATATATATA